AGGTAATGTAAAGAGAATTCTCTACCTCTCTCTCTCTCACTCGCTTTATGAACCTGTTAGTTAATTAATTTCTTAAATAATTCATGAACAAACTGAAGCTGTAAGACATTGTGGCAGCACCCGCTACTTGTTTTCATAAGCAATTGACAGCAGCCCCAAGTGCCTTTTGTGCCCTGAGTTGAGTTGGGTCTGCAGAGTCTGGGTGAATTTTAATATCTTAAACTACGCAGTAGCTGACCTTAGCATAGAGTGCACTAGCCAAGGCTCCAAAGTGGCAGCAAGTCAGCTGAATGACAACTGCCAGCCGGAGACAATTGACATGTAAAGTAAGCGAGACTGTTTTAAAAAGACTTGCAGATTAGCTAGAGATGAATAAGGGCAATACGTAGAGTAAGTATACATTTTATATTTAAAATTGAAAATAATTCTCGTTTGACGGTTTTCATGCACATTTTGCTGGAATCACAAACAAACAATGAAACAAAATTCAAATGCAAACATAGAAGAGAATACACAAAGAGAGAGAGAGAGAGAGAGAGAGAGGGAGTGAGGGAGCCAGAGCAGGGAATGAGACAATAAACGCTCTTATTGGCATATCTACATATTTCTGGTTCAATGCATTCACAGAGCACAAGCGCACACACACGCACACACACACACACACACACAGATGTGGGTCGAGCGAAGCAAACAGATTATGCACTGAAAACCAGGAGTTGCGCTGCTGGCAAAGGAGACGCCGCCGCTGCCGCTGCCGCTAGCTATTGCCAGCGGACCATTGGCAAACCAAAGTATGCGAAAGATGCCGATTCATTTGTGCCATAAAGCACAGGCAAAGCAACAACAACAACAACAACAACAGCAGCATACATGCAAAATAGCACATGTGTGTGTTTTGAATGGATATGCATTGTCAGCTATATATATATATATATATGTGTGTGTGTGTGGCTAAATTTTAATTTGGAATTTTGAAAATGTTGTTTCACAAAAAAGCAGAAAAAACTATATAGAGAACTTAAAAATTATATAGAGAATGCAATAAATATTTTCTTGTTTGCATAAGAACCAAATGTCAAAATTTTTGCTAAAAAGTTATTCCCATTCACACGCAGATAAGTAAGATAATTAGTAATTCGTTCTAAGTCTTAGTCGAAAGGCGCCCGTTACATTTACATATATCAAATTTATGCATATTCAGCAGCAGCAAATTGTTCGAGTGGGGTATTTAAGAGTCACTCACCGTTGAAAAGCATTTCCATGCAAACAGCAACACAAACAAAGACAGACGAATTGTCAGACAAGCGGACAGATTGACAACCAGGCTTACTCGCTGTCATTCTGTTTGTCCAGCTGTCTAGCCGTCTGACTGTATCTAATTCATCAAGATTATGCGACAGATGATGTACTACATCCAAGCAAGCGTTAAGAATTTGTTATGTTTCATTTGTTGTTTTGCATGTATAGCAAATTCATCTAAATTAACAAATTAATATGTGTTTATAATTCTTTAGTTTCTCAATTTTGTATTCAATTTGTTATTATTACTATTACATTAATTGTTGTATAATAATAAATATTTGTATTTTAT